GGCCGGCGACGCGTGGCAAAGCGATCTCCTGCCACCGCGGCCCCGCTACTGCCGTGCGCCGGGCACTGCGGAGATGGGCGGGGGCGCGGGAAAAAGGAATCCTTGCTCGGGAGCGCGTCCCGCTTCTGTTCCGCGGCGCATGAAGCGCTGGGGCTGTGTTCCCGCGGGGCAGAGCCACCTTCTCACCAAGCGCTGGTGTTGTGGTGTTCCCGCGGTGCAGAGCCACCTTCTCGCCAAGCACTGCTGGTGTTGTGTTCCTGCGATGCGGAGCCACCTTCTCGCCAAGCGCTGGTGTGGTGTTCCCGCGGTGCAGAGCCACCTTCTCGCCAAGCACTGCTGGTGTTGTGTTCCTGCGATGCGGAGCCACCTTCTCGCCAAGCGCTGGTGTGGTGTTCCTGCGGTGCAGAGCCACCTTCTCGCCAAGTGTCTCGCCAAGTGCTGGTGGTGTTGTGTTCCTGCGATGCGGAGCCACCTTCTCGCCAAGTGTCTCGCCAAGTGCTGGTGGTGTTGTGTTCCTGCGGTGCAGAGACACCTTCTCGCCAAGCACTGGTGGTGGTGTGTTCCTGTGGTGCAGAGCCACCTTCTCGCCAAGCTCTGGTGTGGTGTTCCCGTGGTGCGGAGCCACCTTATCACCAAGTGCTGGTGTTGTGGTGTTCCCGCGGTGCAGAGCCACCTTCTCGCCAAGTGTCTCGCCAAGCACTGGTGGTGTTGTGTTCCTGCGGGGCAGAGCCACCTTCTTGCCAGGCACTGGTGCTGTGTTCCTGCAGTGCAGAGCCACCTTCTTGCCAAGCGCTGGTGTTGTGGTGTTCCTGTGGGATAGAGCCACCTTCTCGCCAAGCGCTGGCGTTGTGGTGTTCCCGTGGTGCGGAGCCGCCTTCTCGCCAAGAGACGCTACCACTGAGCTGGGCCTTTGCGCTTCGCTCTTGGCCAGCAGCAAGCGCGTGGTGGGAAGAGGAGGAGCTGTGCTTTGAGGCTCATGTGTTTCCTTTGGTCGTTGAAGGTGGTGGGTTTGTGCCAGTCTTGAGAACTTTACTGATGGCATCTGTGCGTGGGGGCGTGTTTCTCTTCCCCATTTGTCAGAATTAAATTAAATGAAAAGCGATGATTGTTTCACTTAACTGTCTCCAAAGAATAGGGGAAACGTCTGTTGTAATAGACTAGTTGAAAAGCAGAACGTTCTATTTGTAGAGGAATTTTTTTTTAACAAGATATCATTTGTTAGCGATGTTCATAAAGCTTACACGTTGCGCCTGAGAGGTCCCCTGACTTTGGGGTTTGCACTGCTAATGGCCAGAAGTTCTGCTGACTATATCGTCATTTTTTTTTCTGTTTCATTGAAAAAACAGGGTGCCGTGTTAAGGTTTTAGTGTGAATCCTTGACATTTAGTTTCCAACTGCCTAAAACTGGGAGCATTCTAAGCCAGCGTGGTACGATGCACATTACAGGTGACGTAAACGGAGAAAAGCACTGATACAACCAGGCCACAAAGCATAAACTGCTACGGCCTTGCTATGCTTCCAACTCTGCAGTTAGCATGGGGGGTTTTTTTCTTCCTTTCAAGATCTGTGTTTTAATACAGGTAAAACTCCTATGTGCATTTGGAGATATTCCCCACAGCTTGTGTTGTTTTGTCTGCCACCTTACCTGATCCAGGGTATCTGTGTTTTCTCTTTCTTCTTTCGACGTTCCGATAACTTTTCCTGAAAATGCCGACTGAGGACATGGTTGTTGAGCAGGCACCTTCCCAGGCCAGTCAGGCACAAATATGCTGCTTTATTAAGAGGTACTTTTTACTTCTTTCAGATGTGAAACGTGCAGCAAAGAGGAAGCTAAGTACAGATGTCCACGGTGCATGAAATATTCGTGCAGGTATCTATTATCTGAATTAAATTGGTTTGGGTTTGGTTTTTCCCCCCTCTGGCTGAACGTGGCACATTAATATTTTTTCTTTTTTGTCATTTCAGTCTGTTGTGTGTAAAGAAGCATAAGCTTGCACTGAGCTGTAATGGAGTAAGGGATAAAACAGCGTTTGTCTCTGTAAATGAATTTACTGACTTGAACCTTTTGAGTGGTAAGAATAAGCCTTGTGCTTTTAAAAATTCATTAGTTTTACTAGGTGAGCACTACATTTTTCTGTGTTCTTTTTTTACCTTCAGATTATCGTTTCCTGGAAGATGTAGGAAGGACAGCTGATGCTGCTGCTCGACATCCTATTGTGCATAGTCCACCAACAAAAAAACTGGTAAGTTTTGAATTAGAAACTTGGTTTGTTGGAGGTAGGGTCGACTACCTTTGAATTCCCACTGAGGCAGCCCCGATCCAGATTTCAGAGCTGTTGTGGTTCAGTAAAGAACAAATCTAAGCAACAGTGAAGTAAAAGCCAGTCTTCTAAGGGTGAGCGGGGCGGGGAGGGGGGGGTATTTTTCCTGAAACTCCTTCAATTCCAGTAACGCACAATGTGTGAGATCACACAAATGTATGGCATTTCCTGAAAGTCCTATGATGATAAACTGTGAAGACCAAGATCAAGAAGGGGGGAAAAAACCCAAAACAGAAAAACAAAATCAGCTGCAAAACACTTGGACTCATTGATAAGTCACCATAAGGCATCGGGACCATGGTTTTTTTCCAGTCTTGTGAAGATATCTTTAAATGTAGCACTAAACCCAGTTGGAGAGAACTCATGTTGATGACAAAGTAAATTCAGAAGAGTCCAGCTTTCTCTCCAGCTGAAGTCATACTCTGTGTGTGGACTTATCACCATGATGCCTTGAAAAAATGTGCTGAAGATGGTGAGATGCTACCTAGGTAGGGTGTGATACTAGGCATCTTTACAGGATGATATCCTTAGTGCTACCTTCAAACGGGAATTTGTCAGAGCGGCCAAGATGGTGCTTGTGCATCCCTTCTCCTAGCAGGGTTGTAGCCCAAAAAACAGCTCTGTGGGTGGTATTACACCCGCAGTGGCTGGCTGTGGCTTTCACGGTATGTTAAAGAACTTCTCCTGTGAAGAGATCATTGGCACGTTGGGTTTTACCCATGGAAAAACTTTGCCTGAAAATGTTTCAGGTAATTGCTAGGCTTACTTTTAACTTCTTAATTCATGCTGGGTTTTTTTAAAAGTCAGAGAAAGTACTTCATTAAATGTGGCCTCTTCTACAATTTTTCCCTAATTCCTGTCAGCATTACTCTTTTATTGTTTAACTTTCAAGTTTTGAGTATATTATTCAGATTTTTAAATTTTTTTATTTTTTACTAGTTATATTGCTTGAGAAACAAAGCTCGAAGGTGTAATATTGACCTGAGAACTCTGCCCGTTGGATTTACAAAAAGAAGAGAAAATTCAACCACCTTCAACTACATGTGAGTCTTCATTTGGTTGCAGTCAGCAGTATTTTGTTTTCACTGAACGCATAGTGATGTGAGTCTGAATTCATACCGATACGCCTGCTTTTAAAATCTGCTAGGTGTATGATTAATCTGCTAGGTGTATGATTTTTTTACAAAAGCTATCTAGATTTAATATCTCATGCTGCAGGTTTTCATTTTTGGGGCTCTTTGAGCTCAGCTTAACAGCTTGTGCAGTTCATGCTTTGTTTTGAAAAATACCGACATTGAGTAACAGGAGGAAGAATCAGTGCCAATTGTGTTCTTCCATCTTTTAATTAACATTGAGTTTTGTTGCTGGAAAAAGAAAACACTTCTTTAAAGGTCTATGATAGAAGACTGACGTAGAATGATTGCAAAAATCGCTGTCTCTGAAAAGGCTGACTTTAAGCCTGAGGAGGTGCTTCCAGTACAGTTATCTCTGTCACATGCCGTGGTAGGAGTTGCTGTGCTGGAGGATGTGGGTGCTCAATGCAGCACAGCTTAGAGAGATGAGTGCAGACAGATAAGAATTCAGGAAAAAGGCTAAGAAGAGTTTAAATGTTCTTCCCTTTATCCACTCTGTGGGTTTTCTCTGATATCCAGAATTTGTATTTTAAAGTATTTTCACAGAAAAAAATAAAAAAAAAAAATTAAAATTACCAAGTATTTCATTATGGCGGGAAACGGGTCTAGAGTTCAGCTCGATGATCTACTGGGAGCAAGTACAAATGCCTTCTGAGCTTCTCACAGTAATCAGCTGTGCCAGCTACCCCAGACGGCTCCTTCGCTTGTTTTCTTAGTAGTCATAGTTTTGGGGGCAAGTCCTGCTTTTGGGATGTGTGTTTCCCTCTTTTCTCTCTGCTGTGTCTGGTGGGGAGAGATGCGGGTGGCTGAGGCCTGACCAGCCACCAGGCGTCTCTCTCTGACAAAGTAATAACCAACCTGAAAAACTGCCCAACAGACTTGCCCATATCATTTCTTCTGTTCTGGGGCAAAAGTAGAGTGGTTTGGTTTTGCAGATACCTTAATTTTTAGCAGAACATGAGGCATAAAGTAGATGTAGAAGTGTAACCTCTTAAAGTTACTCATTTTACCAGTTCTGCTGGAGAAAACACAGGGTGGATCAATGGAAAGAAAGGAAATCTGGGGCATTTTCTCCTTCCTCTACCCTAGATTTATGTATTGCTGAGGCCCTCCCCTCAGAACAGACCAGGGAAAGCCCCAGACCTTGCAGGTGTTAAGTCATGGGGGCAGAGGCTGTCTACCTCTGCGCTTTCTTTCCCTTGGCCACAAACTTTACCTTTTACAAATACCTTGTGCTAGTCTCATGCTGTTGAAGTGTCTTAGGCTTAGAGCAGAGTTTAACTTTCCTGGGGAATTTTCCTCAATGTCGTGGATAAAACAACGTGAACACTCTTAGGAGTACAGGGTAAGGGTCTTTGAGAGCCAGAGGAAGCCCCGGGATGCTGGGATCAGTGGCTAAGAGAAGGGCAGAAGAACAGAAAAGGCACAGCTGCAGGGAGGTTTGACACCATTGAGGAGATCCTGGGTGCGGTACGGTGCCGCGCTGACAGAAATTTGCCTTCATGTACCATGTTTCTCAGTTCTTTTTCTCTAGAAAGCCTTTTTGGGTACATACTGAAGTGTAGCTTTGAGCACATCATGCTTTCACGCGTGTCATGCTTTTATGTTGTTTAACAGCAGCAGATTTAAAAACTAAGAGGATGGGGCAAGGAGGGTGATTTATTGGCAGATAGGCATGGAAGTATTTCACAGGCTGGCTGGGAGAATGCCTTACTGGTTTTTGTCAGTCGTAAAGTCCTGGGGTATTTTTTTGTTGTTGTTTTGGGATGCTAGCCTTTCCTTGACTTTCACATCCCATCAGAAAGAACATGCTAATGTTCTCAGGTCTTAAGAGGGTAGGAAGTAACCACCTCTTTCCTGCAAATGCTGTCCAAGTATATGGAGTATGCTCAGTGAGCAAAGATAGGATGTTTCCTCTCTTTTGCTGCTACTGTTATTCACGCAGCAGTGGGCTGTTTGAATTCAGTGGTGCAGGTTAAAAATTAACCTGTGTTTTGTTCTTTCTTGTTTTCAATTGGCATGTTTTACTTACTCTCCTTACAAGTGTTCCTGAGGGATCAAACCTCAGGTTTGATCAAACCAGTGAGTATCAACCATTTAACACTTACCCCTTGTGACTTCATGACACCCATGACGTTTTGTTGAATATTACATTCAAATGGGGTAAAGCTGTGGAAGTAGTGGCTTTATATAAGCTTCACACCTGACAGTGGTCAGGGTCTGGTGTGTCCCCTCTTCTGTAGATCTGAACCCCTTCTTGTGCTGTTTGTCAGTCGAGATTTGTAGAGGGGTTGCTCCAGAGGATGGAGGTTGGAAGCTGCTCTACATGTGTGTGTGGAAAGCTGAGGACGGTCTTCACAGAATCGTAAGGGTTGGAAGGGTCCTCGGGAGATCATCCAGTCGTGTGGAAAGCTGAGGACGGTCTTCTCTGATGTCCTCTTCGTGCTCTCCATGTGAGCCAAGCTGTTAGGCTGTACAGGCAGGAATCCGAGTAATCCAAAACTAGGAAGTACAAGATGTGTTCCTGTGTCATCCCCTGCCCCTGCCAGCTCTGGAGGACAGAGCAGCGGTTGTTTGGATGTGTTAACCAGACTCTTCATTTCCTGGTTTCCATTAGTTTGTTTGCTAAATTCGGTGCTGTGAAAGCATACAAGCCAATGCTGGGCAACACATGGATTAGACTAACTTGTAATATTGGATATCCAGATAATGAAGGGTCATTAGAAGGTAAAGAGTCTGAGTCTGGTTTGTGAACTCATGGGACATCTGACTTAGAGATAGTTTAGAACGCCTTATTTGCAAATTATTTTTAATGTGCTGCTTCACCCTGCCTTTCCTGTGGGGCCCTTGTTTCCCAGTAGAAGTGATAGTTTCCCTTCTGGACACATGCCGCTGTGGAGTTGGGGTGGGCTGCTGGGAGAGGGAGCCTTTGGGAAAGGGGTGGAGAGTGTGACCAGGTTGAGAAGAGGGCTAGCTCCGGCCAGCAGGGCAAACTGGAAGAGGGGAGGGAGCTTGAGCTCCAGGGCTCCTGGTTCCCTGGTGGGAGATGATGGCAGCCCTGAGGAGCTGAAATGGGGCGGCGCAGCTCCCTCAGCTCTGCAGCCTGTGCTGCCCTGCTCCAGCCCTCCCTGCTGCTTGCGCTGTCATTGGCATCTCCTCCCTGCCAAAATCCTTCTTACCTCTCCTCCTGCCGAGAGGGGCCAGAGGGCTACAAGTCTCCTCCCCTGGTGGAAGGCACACCTGCGGTTTGGGAGCATTTGATTAGATGATAGATGTGGGAGAAGAAGGAATCTTTTTCATTATCTCTCTTTGATTTAATTCTGAGAACAAAATATAGTGTGGGGATTTGGGATTAGCATCAGTTAAGTGATTGTTAGTGTTACAGAAGCTACTTTGAGTTACACCTGAAAGCCCTAAAATGTCAACACTAATCCTTAGCCAGGTAGGGATAATTAAAATTAATTGTTTGAAGTGTTGCTGATCTTGAGAATTTACCAAGGAGTTATTTGAGCTGGGGTTTGGGCTAATATTACATTGTGTGAGCTGTTAAACTTGAATTTAGCTGTTACTTAGTACATAGTTCTGCTTGCTTTCTAGGACCCACCAAAGTTCCCCGGCAAAGGAATGCTACTCTGGAGTGATCAGAGAGCAGGATGTTTATGCATGTCAGTAAATCAGTAGCTTTTCACAATATCCCCATGTGAAAATGAGTACTGACTGACTTCTGTACCTGAGGTGGTTTGTTTTGGTGGTTTTTAATTTTTTAGCAACTGAATCGTTTTATTCTCACAGTGAATCTGATGGTAATTTTGTTTATTTGCAGAAGTTAAAGAGGACAATAGTTCTATTTTTTAAAGGTTATTACAGTTTGGGTTACTCAGCCTTGACAGCATCCCTTTGATTTACACAGGACTCTCAGTTCAAGCCTGGCATGTTTGATTATTGCAACACACATGGTTAGTAATGTCTCCTGCTGTTGGAAGGCCCCTCGATAGAAGACCATATGTGTTACAAAGGAAGTGCACTTCAGTTCCTTCGGGAACATATGAACTTTCAGTAGAAATATTTCAGTTCTACTGTTTATACATCAAATCCAGGAATTAGCTTGATGAAGTTTCAAGGAAACGGAGACATTCTCTTTTGTGTGTTGTTGTTAGAAGTGCAACAAAGTCAATTTGGCGCTAGGAACACAAGCGTTGGGGGGGGCAGGGAAGATGAAATCATCACACTTCTGCATGTTCTCATATTTTAATTTTTTTTCTTTAATCCGCAAGAGATCCTGGTCACTCACTTTGGCTGAATCTTCATTGATTAAAAAGGTTGGAAAAGGCATTATTATCCAAAGATGTGGCTCCTGAATGCCCAGTATTTCAATTAAACTTCAGTGCTTTAGGTGAGAGTACTGGGTATTGTCAAATTAAAGGATAACTGGTCCTTCATTAAACTTCTTTATGTCCTTTTCATCTCTTTTATCAATTAAAAATAACATAGGAAATACTACAGTATTTGCACTTTTATGTAAGATGTCCTCTATACTGTTTTTAAAACATTTAAGGATTATTAGTTGCTAAATAGAAACAAAATCATCAGTGAATCGCTGACAGGCTGGCAGTGAAGTACTTTTGCAGAGCCAGAAATTGCAGTTGGTATCTTAAGATGTGATGAATTTGGATTTTTTTGTTGAGATACAGATATATATACACACACACACATTTAAAAGGTTTTTATATACATAAAACCTTCTACCACAATCTAGGTAAAATTGACTGTTCAGAGGAAACCTAGGTAAGAAAGTTAAGTTTTATGAGATATTTCATAAATGTTTTAAGAAATATGTAAACATTGGGCCCTTCTAAAAAGGCACTTAACTGGTATGTCCAAGTCCCAGAATCCTTTGTAGATCTGTCCTTTAACTGCCAGCAGCTGTACTGCCCGCACCCGCAGTACTTGGAGCACCTTCCTAGGCACTGCGTTAATTATAAAAGACCAAGAATTTTTGTGGTTTTCCTGAGAGCTAGCTGAAGGTAACAGCCACTTTGTATATACTGCTGCTGTCTTTGTAACATCAGAAATAAAAATGCTTTCAATTGTTGCTGTGAAAAATTTAAAAATCATTTACATGTAGTTCTGTGAAAACTACAGTTGATTATAGAAAATAACTTTTTTGAAGTTTTAGGAGAAATGAAAGGGAGAGAGTTACTTTGCTTTAGAACAGCAATTGCAAAACAGCCTGTGCAATTCTGAACGTAATTTGCAGCTCCATCTCACGCAGGGGAAGAGGTGCTTGGCTCCTCTTTTTCCTTCTGATCAGTTTCCATGCTTCTGAAGTAGCCAAAATAGGATGTGAAGCCAAGCAATGCAGGGATGGGCTATGATGCTGCTTTTTACTGACATCAAGGATGTACTTGTGCCTCATCCAGATCTCTGCCATTTGGTAGTTTTATAGTCAGTGCCCTGGTATTCAAGAAAACTGGAGTGGCGTTCCATGGCAGCCGAGCAGCGTGGAACACTTCATGCAGTGAGCTGTTATTCAACTGCAGATGATCTACTCAATTAAGCATTTTAATTTAGAAAATGAACATAGTACATGTCAGTTGTATTTGAAGGAAATACTACCCCAGTGAGCCATGATGGAAAATGAAGTCAGTGAGATCTGGAGCCAGGATATCTAATTTTAATCAGAACTTGTTGTGAAGCAGCTTTGATAGCATCTACAGTTGACATCCAGATCTCTAACTGGGCAGAGATCAGTGATGGCGAGGGATGCTTCGCTGTAATAACAGGCACCCAGCAGGTTGTTTTTCAAAACTTCATCGTACAGCAAAGTGTATGAGGCTATTCCAATTCTAAGCTGCTTTTTTCCTTGCCTCCTTCTACACAGTTCTTAATCTATCTTGCTTCTTTCTGCTTGCCATTTACTTTCAGGCAAGAGTACTTTGGACAGAGATGAAGTAATTAACTGCAGTTTCGGTATTAGCATGCTGGAAAAAAAAAAAATCAACATTCCTGTTTTTTCCAAAGTGAAACTTTTCATCAAGGAATGATCTTTTTAACGTCAGTGTTCAGGCTCCCTGATTCATTGCTCTTTCCATGCGCTATTCCATAGACTAGATTGTGCCTGGAAGGGGGAGGGGGGACGAAAGTCTGAAAAGATCCCTCTTAAGCTGATTATACAGCTGCAGCGATGAGCAGAGTCTGCCTCAGTGAGCCCACAGGGAACTGGTCTTGCATGTGAAATCAGAATGTGCTGTGTGATGACCGTTACTGTAGACGCATAAGGAGTATTGCTAACCACAGGTAGCAGACAGCGCGAAGCACTTCTGGAACGTTTCTTTTCGAAGTGCCTGTGTTAGAGACAGCCCTCTAAACCACACAACGTGTTTCTGCAAGCTGTGTCGTGGTTTCTCTGTTCCCACTTGGGAGAGGAAGATCTGCTTCTTGGTGTGAAAGTTTGACAGAAAGAAAGTCCATATCACAGGAAGGGCTGATCACTTCGAGTAGATAAACATGGCTTGTTTGAAAAAAATTGTGGAAGATGATTACTTAAATGAAAAAATGCTAGAAAGCCTCATTTTAGTTGGTAATATATAACAAAAACGTCATCTGAACAGTCCCTGTAAGTATTATATATAATAAATGCACCCATTGCTGGTGTTTCCTGCAGCTAATGATGGTGACCCTATTTCTATGCCTAAAGATTACCAGCTTTTACTAAAGTCTCCCTAGAAGGTGCTTTGAATTAATACCATGCCGTGTTAAATGTCAGATACTAACATGTCTGAGAGAGGAATCACAAGCTTGTTAATCGCAAGTCAATTGAACTGGTTCCTATTGATATTCCAGTTTGTTCTATGCGTGCGGTAGCGTTGATGCTTCCTTCAGCTGTCAAGATGAAGCATTGCAAAACCTTGTTTCACTCATCTTGCAAAAATCTTCCCAAAATTCCACTCACTGATTTTGAGTCATTTCAAAACCTTTTCCAGTTTGGTAATTTAAGACAGGATCATACCAATATGCAAAATAGCACAAAATGCATGAGGCAAGATACTGTGTCAGCTTCTGGTTATATATGCTATGTGTTGAGTAATGTTTTCTGTGTTATCCTCCAGGTCTGGTCATACAATCTCTCCTCTTTCAGACCTGATGTTTCTAATTATTAGCTCTTTGGAGCTAGGGCTCTTGCTTTCTCTTTTTAATTTTTTTTGGTAAACACTACCACTTCTGATTTTACTTATACTACAGAAAGTATAGTTCAGCTGAAAAGCTCAGTTTTTTCCTAGGAATAACTAGGTAAGGAAATGATTATTTATTTGATAAGAGCACTTTATAAAATAAAAGTGCTTGCATGTAAAAATTGGTATCAGAGTTAATTGAGCTTAGCAGCTCACTTGTTAAGTGTTTTGCTGCTGGGTGTACGTACGCTTGCCTCTGCAGCCAGCTAGAACCTGTTGGATAATGTTTCATCTGTCTGATAAACAAGTTAAACAACATGTTGGAACAACACTGTGTTTACTTTTAATTGTAGTACCAGAATCTTTGCATAACTGATGGTGATTATCCTGGATATAATGATTCATAGGTCTTAAGTAGTGTTAAAAAAAAATAGAAAAAAAAAAAAGGGGGGGGGGATGGTAGTAGTTCCTTCCTTCCTCTTCCAAATCTTTACTGTTTGTCATGAGTGTAAAATTCTGAACCAGAGCAAAAGGCCATGCACCTACCTTTTAGACTGTGCTTTTTCTTAGGAGATTTCTTTTAGAATAATACGGTTACACTTACCATACCAAATGGGAGAATTTGGAGATGAAATGAGAGGGGAAAAATGCTTTGTCTTAAGTCAGTATTAACTTCAGCTGCATTTCTGAAGATGAGTAAAAAGGCAAAAAGACATTTCTTAATCTAGCAAAGTGTCTTCTAGGTAATACTGCCTTTCAAAGATGATACTGCACTGGAACCTTGCTTCAGTAGCTTCTATTCTTGGGTATTAATTATGCTAGCTGGAAAGGGAAGATGGGTCTTCAAACTAACAGACTGGAGATGGGAACATGACATCAATTTTGGTCTCTACCAAGGGCTTCCTGATCTTTCTGTGAAACATTTATTCTTTCTAACATCTGTTATCCCGGTTATGCCAAAATGCAGCTTCCCTCCCTGCCCATGACACATTTTCTCTTCAGGCAATTGCTGCTGGTGGAAAGTCGAGTCCCCTATTTCATGTAGAACCTGGCCTCAGCTGGGACCTCTGGCTATTACTGTTGCACAGGTTTGGCGATCTGTCCTGGGGAACAGGCCAAAAAGCATTTTCCTTTTCTAAATTAAAGAGCAGCTTTACATATAGGTGGTCAGCAGGATCTGGGAGCATCTGTCAAAGGGCCTCTCAGCTTCTCTGCATGCCCCTTTCACTCTTTGAAAATGCCATTCAAAATCTTGACTATATGTTTTCTTCTGTACCCATGTCATAGGCTACCGAGCTTTGTCATAGAAAAAACAAGTAGTGTTTACCAGCTAACGTTAAGAATATGCATTTCTTTTTCTTTTCAGGGAGAAAAAGTTCTACTGGCATCTGAAGCTCATATTTCCTCACTGTCATGCTGAATACACTTTAAAAGGGTACAGAGCTTGAAAAACAGGTTTTTATAAAGTTTAAATTAGTCTGCTGAAACTGAGCTGCAAAATATTTTGATCAGTTCTTATCTATTTCTTACTATACAAGGTAAACCCGAATATTATTTTTAGTCTTAATTAAAAGGGCATTTAATTTGAAAAAAAATACTTAAAAGTTCTGTAGTCCTTTCCTCTTTGAAAGCTAGTGGTCTTTTCAAATCAGGCAAAATGTTTGATTGCTAGTCCTTTTCTTTGTGTAAACAGAGCAGCCTGTATATTTGTGATAGCGATATCGCATACACCTAACATACTCTGTTCTCATGGAGCAGACGTTCGGCAAGATTTGCCATCCCTCCTCGCCTGCACACTGGAGCTGACCTTCACATAGGATGAAATGGTTGCATTGTTTGCTTTGTAGGAAATCCCACAAGCACATTTGCAAAGGCCGAAAAATAAGCTTTTGTTGACAAATCTTTCTCCTTTTTTCCTAGCCTGAAGGGGGATGAGAAGTATGCCCTTGTCTACTTCTAGGGCTGAAGGAACGGCATGTTTCTGCTGCAGGGTTAGAAACTAGAGATATGCATCTGTTTATTCCTTGTTGATGCTAGTGAAGTCCCAGTGTTGAAACTGAGATAAAGGTGTCAATTATCTATGCTGTATCGATACACATTTATGATCCTCCCCGTAACTGCTCAGCTGTGCCACTGTAGCATGTAAATATACAGCTTCTTCCAAATGACTCAGGTAATAGATTTTTGTGTACATGATGAACCATGCCTTATGTATTTGATTTTTATCTTTGGTGAAAGGGTGCCTGACGATAAAACACTCGCTGATATCCTTAAGCCCTACATTGATCCAGTGGAGTCAGATCCTGTAGTTTGTCAAAGGTGTGTATTGAATAATTCTTCTGCCTAGTTCGTCTAATGCACTAACAAAAGAAGGGAACGGTTCCAGATAAATGGCTTTAAACTAGCTACACTTTCAGCATGCAGAGCTGAGTTCCCAGTCAGCAGTACATCTTTAATTCCTGTGATGAAAACCATCCTGACATTCACCAACCAACTAACCCTGGAGTATAGCCACCAAATTTAAACCAGGAAAAGATTAAGAAATTGACTCGTGGCATAAAGATCAAATAAAGCAACTGTAATTCTAAAAAATGTAACCATAATTAACCTCAGTGAGGGTGACAGTGAACCTTGCCTTTGGAGTAATTAGAAAAACATACTAGTAATTATAGCCCTCATTTATAGGAAATACTTAGTATGTGGCATATTGTTTTTATGAAGAAATACATACTTTTGGCTGTTGACACGTGAAAGATATCCATCTCTTATGTATGATATATTCTTTTATGGACGATACTCTCTCTATTGCATGTTCTTTTTTTTTTTTTTTTTTTTCCCCAGACTGAAAATCTATACAGTGTCTCCTCAGTCAGATGTACAAATTTTAATGAAAATAGAAAACAGGAAGCGCAATTCTGTCAGGTAAGGTGGTTCTTCAGTTTGTGTGCTTAGTAATTAAAAATAGGGCAAAAAAAACTTTCTTAGTTTTTTATATTACACATGGAGATTAAATAATCTCATGGATTAAACTTCAGTAATTACCAGCCATCTTAAAAGTGATTCAGCAAAAACGTTATTTCTTTGTCTTGTAGTATGTCAGCACTGAAATTTCTGTGCAATAACTGAGTAGTAAGTTCAGCTGACTCAGACAATTCATGAAGCTCGGGCACTCACAGCTGCGTTGGTGGAATAGCGAGTATACCTGAGCTGCTTCAGCAACGGGCTACGCAAACAAGTAGTAAGTTCAGCTGACTCATACTTAGACAATTCATGAAGCTCGGGCACTCACAGCTACGTTGGTGGAATAGCGAGTGTACCTGAGCTGCTTCAGCAACGGGCTACGCAAACCTAACAATGTCTGCAGCAAAGATAGGTTTGTGTTAAAATGCTAAAACACTGTATTGACCAGCAGAAATGTAGACATCCATTCCCTATGGATCCCATTCCTCTACGGATACGTTAACCTCCCTGAGAGAGCTGAAGTGAGAGTTGAGAGCTGTCTTTTTAAATCACTGCAGCAAAAATTATGTGCTTATCAGCATCCAGTCACTGCATTTGAAATAACACATTTTTCTCAAAGTTACTAGCTCATCACTCTTCATGTTGCCATATTTCTGGGTGTGGGCTTTTAAGTCTTCAGAATTCAGACTTGTGCAGAATTGTTTTCTTTGTTTCCAGAACAGACAATCGTGAACTTCAAAATTAAACTTTAAAGAAATAATTTTTGTTGGTATAAATACCATTTTGAACACTCCACCCTGTTGTCACTGTTACTGAAAAGGATATGTACCAGCTCAGTATTGTAGCTTATTGTGGTTGACCAGTGATTCCTAGTTAGGGTTTTTAAAGTACATTCTTTTCTTCAAATGTAACAAATGTAAATAACATGCTTCCCTGAAGCATGGTATATTATTTCTAAGTGGGAAAAAAAGGTATATTAAAAAAAACTCTAGTTGTAACTGAGCTTCTTGTTGTGCTGTATTTTTTCCCAGTTAAGTTCTATTCAAAAATATGTAATGTACTTTGAAATTCAAGCCCCAAGCTCTTCATGGTTTTGATTTTTTTTTTCCCTTCCCCTCCTTGCAATTGTTATTTGAAACATAGTTGTAACGTTTGCCATCAGAGTTGTCAGCTAGAAACCTGTTGGTTTTAAGTGAAATGTCTGGACTGATTTCCATTTAATTCAAGAATAGCCAAATACCGGGTGTTTATGGGGGAAAATTTAGAAATGCTGGTGGTGTTCATCGCAGAAGCACCCAGGCAGATGTAGTTTTCTCAGTTCTCTGTCTGCCTTTCTACTGTATTTCCCAGTGCTCCATGAAGGGCCGTTCAGCACAGGCGCCTTAGCTGTACAGGTTGTATGTGCTGTTGGCACCCATGTGAAGAAGCCCTTCTAGAACTCAGCTCTGGGAAACGAGATCAGAAACAATTCCCCATTTTTGTAAAATATTTTTAATGGACTCTTCTGCTCATCTGTTAATAGTGGTACTCAGGACAGGTTCCCAGAGCATTAACAACCTCTGTCCCTTTCTCAAGTAATTAACTCAACTTAATGGGTCAAAAACTGAAAATGCATTCAGTATGTTACTGCTGTACATCTTGCAGTATGTGATTGGAAAAGCAGTATTCAAGCAATGATACTGAATGTTCATTTGTATTTTAAAAATATCGTAATTTATACACAGGTGGGTTTTCCCCTGGTATTTTAGCGCTTAGTTTTTCATATTTCTTAGAAAGGAAGAAAAAATGGCTTTTGTAATAGCAAGTAAAGTCCACCTTTTAATCTTTTGAAGTAGGCTATGTGAGTTGCGTGGAAGGCTTGGGAAAGAAACCAATTTAATATCAAAGTGGACCATCTCTTGTGCTCATCAATTTCTTCTGTTACTTAACCATTTTCCTCTTCTGAAATCTGTATAATGCTTCCTTAGCTCACAGATTTGTTGAGAGAGAATTATTTTTCATGAAGCTTTTTAGAAGAATCTCGCGAGTTGTGCCTACACTTAAATAGCCTTAAGTTTGAGCCTTGTCTGTATCCCCAGAATCAGCTATGTTGGTTGGTATTAAAGTCACAGTAATTATTGTTTATCCCACTTATGGAATATAAAGTTTAAAAAGAACTGTAGAAAGTTAAAGTAGAAAAGTTTTTTGGCTTGAGGAATGCAACTCCTCACTTGGAAATTATGTGAATCTTTTCATGTAAGCTGGTGGAGCAGGCCCAGCTGTGGCAGTGCAGACAGGTCAAGGAAGCAGCGCATTGAAAGAAAATTCCGCTTCTGAAAGGCAAGAACAAAGTTTGTTTGAAATGATGGGACTGCTATGTCAGCAGAAAAGCATCTTCTGTCGACATAAGCTGTGTCTCTGCCAGCAGGCGCTCTCAGCGCGGTTATGCCAGCGTAGTTGGTTGTGACAAAGGCTCTGTGAGGGAATTTAAATTTTTACTGTAGTTGCATTACAATTAAGCAAGAAAGAGAGCTTATTTTGATTTCTTCTCCTTTTGACTCCTTCCCCTTCCCCCCCCTCTCTCCCCCCCAGTTAAATTAATTTGAGGCTTGCGGTTCTCCTTCTATAAAGCAATACCTGGAATTGCAGTGGAAGTACTTTGCGATTGAAACAGGACCAGCTTACTGCTTAGTGGTGTTCAGCGTGGAACAAAAGCTGAGTGCAGACAGAGCGCTCTCACGTTTCTTTATTCACGTTTCTTTGACAGTGGGGAGCTGTTAACTGCTGGTTTGCGTAGCCCTGAGTGCCACTGAAGGCTCAGAGTAGTTTCTCATCCCGTGCCACCTCATTCTGCGTGGTTTTAGGCGTATGTTCCTGTATGGCAAAGTCGTCTTCCGTCACTCTCTGGGCAGACCGGAGCAGTAGGATTGGTGTAGTCTACTAATACATGCAAGCCTACATGAAACGTTAGCCAAAACTTCCCCTATGACCACCAGAAAAATTCCTTCTCAAGCACTAGATAATAGAAAGGCTGTAAGTATATGTTGTTGAATCGGATGTTGGTTTTAGGCTTAGCAGAACCTTTTGAAAAAAATACTTTTCATATTTACAATTACGTATCGTTGAGAAAGCGCGATGGTGTTTCAGAGAACATCCAAGCAGGATTATTACGGGTTATAAAATCTTAGTCTTCTAGTTTTAAGATAAGTATGTTACAGAAGGATTTTAGTATTTCCTGCAATTGTTTATGAAACAGGAGTTTGTGGTTTAGTCTTGGCTGTTTTCTGTGTTTCACAGTAAATGGCCCTTTTAGTTTGAAGGTCCTTTGCAGAATGCTTTAAATTTTTTGGGTTTTCCTTTTTTTTTTTTTTCTTCTCCAGAAATATAAATTAGCCATGTAGTACAGATTTCTGCTTCCTCACAGGAGTTTTGCAGAACTTCAGACAGCAGCTGGATAAATCCACTGGTGTGCAGAAGTCGTGGATAGCTGCCGAACAACATGGCACTTGCTTTCTTCTTGCTAGGTGCCTTTTATCATCAGTGGTGACAGTTCCTCGAGAACTTTGTGATAAGTTCTTATTTCTGACTCCTCTAAAACCAGCTTGTAAGAATTGCTTTCAGTATGAATTGGTAGCACTCCACAGTTACTTAGAGTAACCTAAAGCATAATCTCCTCATGTCCTCTCCTCCCTACCTGTCGCCTAACACTGTAGCAGTTACACCACTGGATAGTCTTCTCATTAACTGGACTTAATTTATAAGGAATCTTATGAAGGAGGGTTTGAAAAAAAATGAGTGTTGCACAACTCTCTTCTTCCTTTAAAACCTTGGTTTGGAAAAAATCTGCGTTTGAATGGGTTATAATAGTTTTCCGTTTGGTAGTCCTTGCCTCTATCACCTGTTACGCAATATTTAGTTGTGGTTGGTGTCCATTCTCTCCTCGGCTGTAACTATTCCAAGAAAGGTTTAACTGCTGCCTCTTGGATGATTTTTACAGTCTACATTCTTTTATAAAGTAGTCTTTTCTTTCTTCAGGATAAATTAGTGTCCTGACTGTCTTCAGTCCTTTATTTGGGATGCCTTCAAAGTGACTTCATATGGTAAGAGTATTGCTTTTTCCACTAAGGAAACGAAAGATGCAACTGCCAAATTACACAATCTGGTTTGGGAAATACACCTTCTTTTCCTGAGAACTGCCTTATTAGGCTTTGTGTAACAAAACAAAACACCACTGCTCCCCCCAGAAAAAAAAAAAAAATTCCTAAATCCAACAGACCCCTTGATATTTGTTATAAGTAAGTTAATGGTCAGAGCTGGGTTTTTCATAACTACAGCTGTTTAATGAAAAAGTATCATATGATGATCCTATTTCTAGAAGAGAAATAACTGCCACGGACTTGGTTTACAGTAGATATTTTAATCTAAGAGATAATTAAATAAATGTTAATGAGGTTAAACCACACAAACAGTATCTTTTTTTACTGGGTGCAGTAATACCTTGCATGAATCTAGTTTAGATAGTTGCTGGTCTTTAAGCATGTGCATTTAGTTTTAATGGAATTAAAAAATAATGCCTCTTAGGCATCAGTGTTAGGTCTTTTATATAAGTAATTTTCTTTTTTGCCTGTTAGTATATTCAGAATGACATATGAACATTGTTTCAGAGTAAGTTGTTGTAGAAGACTCTTTGGGATTTGAAGATATCAGTAGGTGCTGACGGAATATTTAGCGGCTTAGAAAATACAGTCTGGTTGGCCTTAAAAGCTTTGCAAAGCCCACTGCTTTCGATGGACCATATCCTTCAAGGAGCTGCAGTACAGAGCAATACCAGACTGTATCCTGTAGTTTTCCTGTTTCTAAAACTGCCACACCATACAGGGATGCGTATAGAATTGGCTGGAACATTGGTTTTTTGTATCTGTAGTACTGGTGCAGCTCATGCTTTGATTACTCAGAAAGCCAAGAATATCAAAAGCATTTTT